AGGACCAGAAAGAGGCAGAAGCCACATATTCTGTAGCCCAACCCACCACAGCACTGGTAAAAGAAGCATCATGTGTCTGAGAAGAGGAGTTCCTGTTCCTCAAGGGATACTCTTTTTACATCTTCATGACATGAAGGAGAAGACAGCCTTCATAGCCCATACACTTTGTTTCTTTCCATTTGGCAAAGGGACCAACTCTCTGCAAACTTGTGGCAATTGGAAGATACCATGACAACTTTTCTCACATCCCTGCTGTGTGTTGGTGAGATGCCAAGATGGGGAGGGAGAATTCTTGTCTGAGAGGGAATTCACCCCACAGGCATACCTTGTGTCCTCAGGAAATCTCAGCAGCTTAGATGTCTGGAAGTTGAGGGCTTTCTCATATTTCAGTGCAAACACAGGTATCTCTTTTGCAGCACTGAGTCATCTGGTCCTCTGGATCCCAGCATTGGCAGGTGAGTGTCTTCACAGCTGTCCCAGATTGAACATCGTTTGTGGGGACCACAAAAAACTCCTGAACAGAGCAGATGGAGAAAAACAGGTGTGGGCTGATGCTGGGTGTGCCTGAGAATGACCTGGGTCTGAGAGCTCATATCTGAGAGGGAGTTCTGGGGAACTAATTGTCATTTTCCTTGCAGGGGTCTTCTTTAAACCTATACTCCGAGCACTTCCAAGAAATGTGGTAATGACTGGAAACCAAGTGACATTCTTCTGTCAAGGGCCCTTAGAGGCCAAGGAATACCGTCTCTGCAAAGAAGGAAGTCCAGATTGCTTGTTACCAACAACCCTAAGAGAAACCGAGAACTTGGTCAAATTCTCTATCTCATCAGTTGAATGGAACCATGCAGGCCACTATAGGTGTGAATATAAGAGTGCCAATGGTGCATTAGAACACAGTGACTACTTGGAGCTTGTGGTGACAGGTGAGAGGACCCCTCTACAACCCCAACATCTGCCATGCGGTAAGGAGTATGTTCACAGTGGGGTCCCCTTTTAAATATGTGAAGAGGAGAAAATGCTTCTCATATTGCTCATGTGGGCATATGAGGATACAGCAAATGTTATTAAAATTAATAAATAAAGGCCTTTGTGTTGGACAGATAGTTGTCAGGAAGTGGATTTGGGAACTATCGTTAGGTTGAGTTGATCTGAAGGACTGTTTAAACACACTACACCTTCATGTATGTTTCTTGCCCTCTTCTCTCTTAGGAGTTCACCAGAGCAGTGTCACCCTGTCAGCCCTTCCCAGCCCAGTGGTGACCACAGGAGGAAATATGACCCTTCAATGTGTGTCACATCATCCATATGACAGATTCATTCTGATGAAGGAAGATGAGAAGTTCTCCGCGGCTTTGCCCACACAGAATATACACCCTGAGCTATTTGGTGCTCTTTTCATATTGGGTCCTGTGACCCCCAACCAGAGGTGGAGGTTCACATGCTATGGGTATTACTCCAGCAGCTCCCAGCTGTGGTCAGTTCCCAGTCGCGTCTTAGAGCTTCTGGTCTCAGGTAAGGAAATGCAGGACTTCCCTTTGATGGACATTACAACTGATGCAGGATCCCAGGAAAGGACCTGGTATGTGATGGGTGAATGAGAGCCAAGACTACTGAACCCAATGTCATAAAATGTGTGATACAGCTAGACTTGAGTTGTGGAAACCAGGATTGATAGTAACAATAGAACCTAAGATCCAGAGAAAAGTGTGATCTTTATGTGTCCTTTTGGTATTGCATATCAGATTACATGTCCCTGCAAAGGTGACCTTCTCTGTGATATTCTCCTAACAGATGCTTATTTCCCCCCCTACTTCTTTGCAGGGACCCTTCACAAACCCACCATCTGGGCTCATCCTGGCTCTGTGATCACCTCAAGGAGTCCTGTTACCATCTGGTGTCAGGCGACCCAAGAAACCCTCATCTATGTGATATATAAAGAGGGAAGCCCGGGACCCTGGGACCAACAAGCCCCAATACCCCACAACAATAAGGCAAAACTCACCATTCCATCTGCGACACAAGTGCAGGCAGGCCGATATCACTGTTACACCTACACCTCTGTGGGATGGTCACAGCGCAGTGACCCCTTAGAGCTGGTGGTGACAGGTGAGAGGACAATAAGTGTCATGATCTTTTCCTCTGTCCACAGGAAATAGTATCCCACAGGTGTGCTTCCATAACCTGTCTGCTGGAGTCAGTGTTGGCTGTGTTACAGACTGCCTGCTCCTCTCCTAGGTGTTTACCATGGCAAACCTACTCTGTCAGCTGTGCCCTGCCCTGTGGTGACCTCAGGTGGGAATGTGACCCTTCAGTGTGTCTCATCCAAAGGATATGATGGGTTCATTTTGACTGGTGCAGATCTGAAGTTC